TTACATTGGTCTATTGCTTTCACTGTCACATGATAATTACAAGGAGAACTAACAGTATGAGAGACATAACTATGCAGGTTTTAAACTATGACCTTTCAATTTAAAATATTCTGTATATACATATACACACCTGTAATTCCTCTTCCTCTGTTCCTCTTTATATATATACACACCTAAAGTTCTTATCTAGCTTCAGTTGCCTACTATATGTCTAACCTGAGACAGCCTCCCTCTATAGACGACAGTTGTGTTTTAGGGATGGTCCGTGAGCACCTTATCTCACAGTGAGATTAGTCAAATTCTGAAAATAGCTCACTCTCCATTACAGATATATATGGAGAGAGCAGGCCACTATCTTAGATTAGATGCCACAGTATCAGACAGCAAAAAATAGATGAGTTGAATCCCACCCAGGTCTTTTCCCAAAGCTGTGAGCTAACATCAGTGCTTCTATATAAAAAAGGAAAACAGAAAACAAACATTATTATCTATTTTGCTATGGTTCACACGTGATTATATAAAGAATCTTCTCCTATCTATCTGCATGATATCAGACTACTCCAATACCTGATGGATCAGTAGGCTACCCACCACACTGTAGAAACAGTAAGTACCTATCGTTAAAAAGGCTTCAGCTGAGCTAATCTTCCAACATATTTAAATGCAAGCTGTGTAAAGCACATTTAAAAATAAACCAAAAAGCAAACCCCTGCATTTTACAACTCAAAATATGATTATATCCTTAAAGCACTGTCTTAGCTACAGATCAGCTCAAGTAGCAGTAAGCAAACAGTAGTTTCAAAAGAAAGAATCCATACCATTTCCGTAGATGATAGATATAGACCACACATTTTCTGATATACCTGCAAATTGGATCTTATTTCCAACAAAGGTGGAGAAACTAAAGCGCCACATAACTCATAAAGAAGCAAATGTAACTCACCTACCGTTGATTTAATATCTTATATGGTTATTCCATGACTCCTAGTTTCCCCAAATTGTGGGCAGTGAAATAAGTACCGGGGAAAGTCAGCACAAGCTCTAAATTTCCTATAAAATTGCATGTCCACATGCATTCATGACAGCAAGGCAATAACATATGCTTTAGAATTTCACAGCTATAGATAGTACAGAGACGAGAACACAATTGCTAGTCAGTGCTGTGACTAGCCAGCAAGAAGATGTGAATTGCACTGGAAGCTGGAATGATGAGAGATAAAGCCAAATTCTCTTTCCCCATTGGGAAAAAAAACAACAACAAAAGACTTGAATTCAACATGTGGCAGGTTGTGAAGGAGGATTAGGAGTTACTAAACAGAGAAATGGATTCATGCATCAGGCAATAAGCTATGCAAGAAAGAAATAACCTGTTTAGAAAACATTCAAACTCTTCCTATATGTTACTGAAACCCAGAAAACACCAATGGATTTTAGCACTATTTTACTTGTATTTACAACAAAGTTCAGAGAAGAGCAGGAGAACAGAAGCGTGACAAGATGAGACTTCAGGGTGAAACTTATCTGCCACAGAATAGGTATTTAACAGGACACGACCCTATACCCTTTCAGTGGTGGACCTTCATCTGGATCAGGTAGGATGCTCCTGGTTCAGGAGCTTTCAGGATCAGAAGGGATTTTGAGTGAGCAGAAGAATACCTTAGGTTTGCATAAAATTGATTGCCTCTAGAAAGATTATATTATGGCCATGTCTAGACCCAGTTAGTTCTTTATATATACTTTGAGAAGTGCACTTTTGCTCCATCCAAATGTCTTGAATTTCAACTATACCCATTTTCAGTCATGACAGACACAATCCTGTCCCACATATCCGACATGGTCATGCAATCACTGTCCCAACTGTGTCTTCTATCAACTTATTGTTCTGCCCTGCCACTGTCTACATCAAATATTGCAGCAAATGTAAGCTATTTATCGTTGCTTTTCATGGCATATTTTCAACCTCTCTACCTGTCGTGACTCTGGCATTTGCCCTGTCAAAAATGTCAAACTCCTCTGGCCATAACCTTATATTTTTCAAACAAGCACATTATTACTTTCTCCCATGTCACTCATTCATGCCTGCAAGCATTTAATTTCTTCCTCTTTCTAATCTCTACCTTATGACTTTTTGCCTACACGAAAGCCTAGCAATAATTATGTACCTGGTAGATTGAAACTGCCACCCATGATGCTGATGAACACTTTCTGGCAGTCCATCACCTGTGCCAACATGTTTTTCCCCCTCAGAAAATTAACTGCAAACTCTTTGGAGGGGGGATAGTCTGTATTACTAGCTGTTCTTCACAGCGGGATCCAGTGTGGTCCATGAATATTTGGAAGAAACCAGTGAGATTGCTTATATATCAACCACAAAATGTGTTTCAACACTTGATCATCACAGATTGTGTTTCAACACTTGATCATCACAGATGATGACATTAAGTTAGGGAAAATATATCTTTAGATCTCAGTTCTTAGTATGGTAAGGCATCCCAATCTGAGCTCATAAAATATAAATCAATTAGTTCTGGTTTGCAGATGCATGTGATGCAGTTCTTCCTGAAAACATGACAAGGAATGGGTCTTTTTACGTTGCTCAACCAGTGCTACTCACTTCTTACAAACCACACCAAAAAAGAGACAAAAACTGCACTGACACAACTCAAACAGAAAAGAAATCCAGCTAACACTGGAACCATTCACACTCTGTTTGACTTCCAGCAGATTGCCACTCAAATCTTTCTGCTGTTGCTGCACGGACTTGGGTCTGAAGGGCAGTTTAATAAAAGAAATAGCCTCTCCAAAGTGGTACAAGTTCAATTTCAGGCCTGTCAGCCTTAGTGTTCTAGTAAAAAATCAAAATCTGTCGAGATAATGTTTCAAACCTGCAGAAATTAGATGTATTGCTTTGATAGAACTGCACTGCATTACATGATTGGAAGAGTTGCCTGTACATGGAGGATATTCTGGAATTATGCTGTGATCAGATCTGCGGCTTTCATTCACCTGCTACAAGGTACTCCTGTACGTCAACCACTATCAGCTGAAAGTGATAACGTCTCTTGTTCTGCAGTTTCTTATCAACAGTCTGCATTTGCCCACCGGCTTTGAAATGGTTTCATCACACATTTCAAGCACAGAAATGCATTTCTCCAGACTAATGTTGCCATTTATCAGTGTTGTTTGGCTTACAGGGCAGCTGGCTCTACAATCTAACTGGAATCAAATTAGCTGTTGATAATATGGTTGTAAATAAGATGAGCAGCTGAATAGCTGTACATCACATGTGTGCGCAGCTTGATCTGCTGGAAAGTCTTAACACAAGATCTTCCAGAGAAACTTCTCAGACTAGTTTTTACATCAGTGAAGCTTAAATAACTGCAGCTACATATGGGCCTTTGAGAGTGCAGACATGAGTTCATACAAGCAGGAGGCTTCACTAGCTCCATGGAAATGTCTGTGGGGAAAACTAGTCATGAACCAGTCCTCTGCAGTAATGAAATGGTCTCCTTTGGACACAAGCCACGCTAAGATGGCACAGACATAGTGAGCCTCAGGCCCTGAGCTAGTATGACAGCACAGATGTAACCTAGAGGTTAGAGTGCCTAATTGCCTTTGACTGTCAGTAGCAACTGACCACTTCCTTCCCCAAGGAGCCTTTCCTTCTTACCAGCCAATTCGGCCACCCAGTTTTGTACCAACCATCAGCTGGTGTAAATAATCTGCTATGGCCTCAATCACTGCAGGTACTCTGGGGTTGGGTTTGGAGGTTTTGAAGAGAGGTGGTGCCTTTTGGAATGACAAAAACATTGGACGAAAAGTAAACCGACTTTTAAAAATTATAAACTCAGCATTTTAATTCCTGTCCTTCATCTGGCTTGGCATGATTTCTGCACCAAACCCTTAGCTTCCTTTGTGCTTACAATGTAGAGTTCAGGTGATGAATCTACGAATAGAACTCTCAACAACCTCCCCCATCAGCTGCAGACCTCACACCACAAATGATTTCATTGTTAATTAGCAAACCATTAAAGTCCCCAGAATTGCAGTACAGTTGCCAATATTCTCAGCTTCAAACCACTAAGAACCTTTTCTTCTCCTCTGCTTTTTAGCTGAACAGGGAAAAAAGTGCATCTCTCATCAGTCTCATCCTATCTGCGGTCCAAGTGCTCATCAAACACCTGGACTGGTTAGAGCTGTATTCCTGGAATTGTTATCCTTACTCACTCCTTTTATTCTCTATATTTCCAGTGATACAACAGGAAGTTTATCTTCATTTTCTAAATGTTTTCCCTTTTAATCAGCTATATGAACAGGCTTTATTTTGGCCTCCTCTTTTTCTATTTTTATTAGAATTCCCAGCTTGTTGTGCCTCTACTGTTTGATATATCTCATTTTAAAAAAAAATTAAAACCCCTTAATACTCCTTTTGCTGTGGATTTCAGTAGATGAATTTTTCTTCTACTGCCACTGTTTCAGATACTGTATCCTTGCTAATATCAACAGCCCAAATAAAAGTTCAGAAAAATTCCCAAATTATAAAGTCTTGAAAACTAGGTTCTTGCAACATGAACTTTCAGATAACCTGAAAATAAAGAAGCCCATGGTGTCAAAATTGATGAAGCTGCAAACACAGATTAAAATCACCCAGATCAGCCCAGCTAAATTAAATTAAATGTCTAATGACCAATGTGTCTATGATATGTATGTAATATAAATTAATATAAGATTCTCCAAATCAACATATAACATGAGAAAAAATGTGGAAAATTAGTTAAAATAATCTCGTTTTGTTTTCTCCAAAATAATTGTCAAGAAACATGCATATTACAAATTGATTCCTGTGGTATTCCTGGTCTAATTCTTGACCCAGTCAAACCATGTCACAACATGCTACATTTTATAATATGATATGATCTCTCACAAAGCTTCTCTCTGGTGTATGAGCACCTTGACACACCAGCTGTAGTAGAAAATACTGTATGTGTGGGTTTACTTACAGTTATGACAGGTAGCTCCTACGTAGCCTGTATTATTACAATCGCAGTAAAAGGTGGTCCAGGACTGAGAGCATTTTCCTCCATGTTCACAGTAGTTGGGTAAACATCTAATCGGAGACAGTTTAAAAAAAAATCCAATTAATTATAAACATTTGTGTAAAAAATAGTGTGCTGGAAAAAAAAATAATTATAAAACTGTCTCACTTCCTCATTCAGGTAAGAGTTTCCTTAGGCTGAACCACTGTATGGTACCCAAAATAATTACTTATTCCTCTGACCTGTGATTCACTTCAAATACAAGCATGGAAGACAACAATATTTAATGTATCCAGCAAATAGGTAAAGATCATTCAACAACACATTCCACTTGTCCTCCACTTCTTAGCAATAAAGTGTCTCAAACTTTCCAAGCACAGAGAAGGATGAGTAACAGGTGAAAACACTACTGAAATATTGTTTCAAAGGAGAATCCCCTGTTCTCTGATTAAACAGGCATCATTGTTGTCAAAATTAGGCTGAGTTACATTTGTGATAACAGAAACAGCATGAAAATCTCAGATGTGAGAGGAAAAATATGCTTCAATTATGAGTTCTGTACTCTCTCTTCTTTCACTTCTGTTGGTGTGCCTCTAAAGTATTATGTGAAGCAAATTATTAAAAGAAGAAAGAGACACAAAAACATGTAGCTTGGGAAGTGAACAGAAACAAAAGCTGTGGGAGATAAATTCAATCTCCGGGACAAGAAGTGAATGCTGATCTCAATTACACTGGTGTAAATACAGGCAGTGCAATGGAGTTACACCAGCCTGAATGGAAACAGAGCTTGTTCCATTGTTTGCCTTTTTTTTCCCCCTTTTTTTTTTTTTTTTCCCCCTTACTGTATATTAGATAATCACTTTTACAGTGGACGTTTGACTTATGAAAAATTAGTAACTTTTTTATACCACTGATTCAATTGTGAAGGGTAGGTGGATAGAAAGCAGGCAATCACTTTATCTCTTACACATCAGCACTCCATTAGGGTTTGCTTTGCTGTAAATCCAGCTTCAAAACCCTTTTTATGGCTCAGATCTTTCAGTGGTGTTAGTGGTGAAGTCACTGTTTCTACCTAGATTTGTACCAGTGGAAGACATGATTTTATTGTAGTTCATCTCATCCTTAGGAAATGTTTTTGCATTTAAGTGTGCATATTGTCTTTAGCTATGGCTTTCAGTCTGCTGCTTCTAGATTCCTTATAACAAAAACATATTTCATGCGTGCAAGCAGAAAACCTGTATGTCACTAATGGCCATTGTTTTCACCAGCCTCCTGAGCCCCACCAGCCAGCATTCTTCGGTTTATTTGAGTCCAAAGCTGCTTAGGGCTGACAAACTGACAACCCAAAGAAACCTGTTTATGTGCACAGAGGCCTATCAGACTAACATCTCATCCTCCATATATTGTATGCAAGCATGTGCATACATACATATATACGCCTCCTTACAAGTGTGAGTCTGAGATTTGTTCTAGAACTCAGGTTTGCTTGATCACTATTTATGCCATTGTACATAAAATTATAAAGATCATGTAAAAATTAATATGAAAGATTAAATAATTTTTATTAGTGCTTACTCATTTATTATAGCCATTATTAATTATTTAAGTATTAGAGACATAAGGAAATCAATAATAAAGTATTTTATTTATAACTATCTGTAACATCTGTTAAACCAATTATAAGATATATTGGTCTTATAAAAATCTTTGTTATGGCCGCTATTAATCATTGAGATCCAATACAAAATGAGGAAAGAGAATGAGACCAGTATGTTTGGTTCTCCAGCTCACCAAAAAGCATTTTTTAAGCGCTGTTGAGAGTACCTTATTTCTAAAATTATAAAGAAACAAAGGAGAAGACCAAAACTGTTGGGTTTGCCCCATCCTTACAGGGCAGGAAGTCTGAGAAAGGATGAAATTCTGTTTTTTAATGGTGTGTTGGGAAGTCATCTAGCAGAGGCTAACACCCTGCTGCTACTGTGACAGCCCAGCCAGCCCCTCTGCCACTACATCTACTCTTGGCAATGGTGAAGAGAGACTTGGAGGGCTTGGGTCAATGCTGAAGAAAGGAAGAGTGGCCTACAGGACGGCATAAATGGGTCCGTCTGGTATGTGATCTGCACCCAGTGATGCTCTGCAGGACCATGCCAGCTCTTTCCAATCAGCAGCTCCCCAACAGCTTTGTCCCAGAAGCTGTGGGAGAAGCACAGTGATTCAACAGCTCTATGGTGATATGTATGTATTTTGCCTGTAAGAGCAGATTTGCTAATGTTTGTGCTCTGGTCATGCCGGCCCTTGCCCTCAGCATATTGCCTTTGCTTCTAACTGCCATTTGGTGATAAACATTCATTTATGTCACCTGTACCACAGCAGTAGTTACATTCACATCACAGGGGTGCTGGGAACAAGAAACATCTGATGTTAATAAAGCTCTTTGGAGAGGTGAAAAGAACAGTACTGTGTTATTATCATAATTTACATCATCAGAGTAATAGACATATACACTTTTTGCCTATTTTAAGCTACCTTTTACTAATTAACCCAATGCAGTAGAGATAATTACTAGTCATTTGTGGTTTGCCAAAGGCCAGTAGCAGAGGCTTAGCCAAATTTATTCCCTTAAAACAGTTTCCTTTTAAAGGCTTTACAAAGTTCAAGGTCATTTCTCATTTCTACTTGTCTTACAAATACAGACACTTTTTCTTCCCCCCAACAATGCACAAAACGCAAGTCAAACTAGCCATGTAAGCTTTTAATGGTATTCATAAATTCAGAATTAAACCTTTTTTATTCCTTAGTCTATTTGCTTTAATTAGCACCAACCGTATTGATCTTGTTTTTGGTGAGATAACTAACCCTTCTAAGAGCTTATGAAACAAATTTCTTTGCAACTCTAATAATTACCATAATCCCATTCTAGCTGAGCAGTTGTGTCTTCATTAGAAGCAAAATTTAGCCTAATTGTCAGAGAACACAAAATTAAGAAATAGTTATGATTAAAATTAGTCAAGACATGGATAAATCACAGGTTGTTCCATTTGCTAATTGTCCCAGATACTCATGTTGAAGGATTTAAATACATATAATTTAAAATATAAATTAATATTTGCATTCTAGTAGAATCAAGCAATTTTAGCAAAAAACACACTGGTTTCACAGGAGGTTTCATAGACAAAAATTTGCAGCAGGCAGCCCCTGACCTATTTGCAATTGAAATGAATGAACAGATCAACTCAATTTTTGCAAGTATCATAATTGGGACACCTTGAAATATAATGATTTGCCTAAGACAGTTTGTCACAGATGAGGGACTCTGATCTTCTGGATTCCAGATTAATTCATAGAATATGTCATGTTGAATGAATCTTAGAAAAAATAAATGAAGCAAATACAATTTTCCCTCCTTCGGCCAAGCTGGAAAACACACACCTTAGCCATCTAAGTGAGCAATATGCAGAGCCTGCACAAAAGCATTCACTGTCCTTAGATGAAACATTCACCTCCAAAACTGCACGTGTGCCTCCTTTGAATTGAAATGAAAAACTGCATAGATATTAGGGGGCAAAATTTGGCCCTTTGATGGGAATGATGAAGAAATAACAATGACAAAATTACTTGAGTGGGAAGGCTGAAGGAGTTCTACACATTTGATGTTACACTTGACTGGAAATAAACCCAGTACTTTGAATAAGCACCTCTCAGATTTTGTTATAGTCAGCACAACACATCCTGCCTGCACCGCTCTCTATTTTTCCTAAATAAAGAGAGGGGAAAAAAAAAAAAAAAGAAGCACGTTATCAGATAGAGAAAGAAAAAAAGGAACACACACTCTCAATATTAAGAGTGCCAATATGACATAATTTTGAGGCAACCACCAAGTCCCTAAAACTCAACGATGACATGACAAGAAAACACATGAAAATTAAAAATTTTTGTATCAAGAAAGTATTTATCTAAATATTATCTGAAATTAAGTATATTTCAGCCTGTTTTCCCATTTAAGGGCTGCAGCTATTTCATATATAGTTAACAAAGAATAACATTAACAGAGATCACTTTGTATAGCATGAATGTATGATGAAACTCATGGCGTTACTTGAACAGCTTGTACTTTGCTCCAGTAAAGGTATCTTTCCACTAAACTCAACAGGCTGAGGCCAATTGCAACAGCATGGATTTTTGCCCCGCTCTACTGAGCCATAAATCTGTGAAATTCCTTGACAGGCTGAGAGAGTTGGGGTTGTTCAACCTGGAGAAGAGAAGGCTGCAGGGAGACCTTATAGCAGCCTTCCAGTACCTAAAGGGGGCCTACAGGAGAGATGGGGAGAGACTCTTTGTCAGGGAGTGTAGCAATAGGGTGAGGGGTAACAGTTTTAAGCTGAAGGAGGGGAGATTTAGGCTACATACTAGGAAGAAATTCTTTACTGTGAGGGTGGTGAGGCACTGGAACAGGTGGAACAGGTTGCCCAGAGTTGTGGATGTCCCATCCCTGGAGGTGTTCAAGGCCAGGCTGGATGGGGCTTTGAGCGACCTGGTCTAGTGGGAGGTGTTCCTGCCCACGGCAGGGGGGTTGGAACTAGAAGACCTTTAAGGTCCCTTCCAACCCAAACCATTCTATGATTCTATATTTTGGATACAAGTAATGGGTGCAAGGGGAGACCAGAGAAGTGTTTGGAAGAGAAAGGGAAGAGATACCCACCAACACTACTACAGAGACAAAGTGTAACTGCTTCAACAGTTTACATCAATATGAAAACAAAGACCAGAGAGCACTAGAAAAGAAAGTACCACACGAGCACATTCCATTCTTATTTTCTCTCTGGATGTCTATTTGTGGCAAAATAGTGGGCTAGGTCTCCTTAACTAAAGGGACAAAAGAAAACTACCAGAACCAGAGGGAGGAAGGGAGAAAGAGTGGGTAAAAACAATATTGACTCCCCATTTAAATCACATTGTCTTTTTTTTTCTTGGTTTCAGGCATTGTTTGCTAACACAGGCTACAGAAAGCATAACACTCTCCAGATTTTTGGTTTTCTTCAGCTTTCCTCAGTTTTCCTTCCACATTTCCTCC